AAAAACCAAAAAAATAAATAAATAAAAGAAAAGAAAAAGAAAAGAGATGTATCTGTTCTGCCTTCCAGTGGATGTAGAGACCTCTTGGATCATGAGTCTTTCCTCCTCCCCTTCCACAGGCCAGGGGCCCTTGTGGTTTATTAGACTCAGAAGTGCCTGCCGCTACAGCGTCAGCCTGGCAAGAGGCTGTGGCAATCCCAAGCTCGGCAGTGGCAGACCTCAATGGTTTAAACCATGACGCTTTTTTTTTTTTTTAAGTTAATGGTCTTTTTATTGGGGGGAAAGATTAGCATTTACAACTCGGAATGGATGTAATTTCTTGTGCAGCAGCGTTGATGGTTCTGCTGAAGTCCACAGCCAGAGCCTGTTCTGCCAACCCTGAGGGATGCTTTGAAAAGCGTCAAAACCAGAGTCTGCAGATGCTCCCTTGATGGAAACTTCTTATTAAACCCGTGTGTGACTGATGAGAGCCTGACAGTCTCTCACTGTGGTCCAGTGCAGCACACAGCACTAAACCCACATACTGGTTTATCCTTTCCTCCTTTTTCTGCACACCATCCTGAGGGAAACACGTTTTCAATATGTTTGTTTTCAGGAAAGTGGGCTATTGACGATTTATACCAACAAGCTGACCCCATCTGAATACTCGTCGATTTTGTTTTCCCATTTTTAAATACTTTGATACAGATGCCTGACTGTGCTCAGTTGTCAAGGCCCATGCATGGAAGAGTGGCCAGCGCAAACAGTGCATTAATCATTAGCAAATGGAACTTTAAGGAGTCCACTAAGTGCCTCCTTATCATTAAGGTGGTACAAGTATTTACACTGTAAAACTGATGCAGAGCCTGACCACAGGGGACAGGACCACCAACCAATACACACAGACTCTGGCCGTGGACAGAAGCTTCCTTGACGTTCGGTTTTGCTGTCAAGAAACAAAATGAATAAATGAACTTCCTTTCTTTTTCTTTTTCTTTTTTCAAAAAACAAGGAAAAGATTCCATTTGATTTTCCTAGAGGGGGACATAGTTGAAAGCAGGTCTTCATTTTAAAGTCACCATCAGTATGAATTTTTCATGGTTGTCTTATCATCTCCATCAACAGTAAAGAAAACTGAAAGCTTCAGGGAAATGGGTGGAACAGGAGATGCTATGTTAAGTGAGCTTCCCCAGGCTCAGAGAGACAAGGGTCTCCCATCCTCTCTAGTATGTTGATCTTAGCTGCTGCTGCTGCTGCTCCTCCTCCTCCTCTTCCTCCTCCTCCTCCTTCTCTTCTTTTCTTCTTCTCCTCCTCCTTCTCTTCTCTTCTTCTCCTCTTCTCCCTCTCCTCCTCCTTCTCCTTCTTCTCCTTCTCCTATTCCCCCTCCTCCTCTTCTTTTCTTCTTCTCCTCCTTTTCCTCCTCTTTCTCTTCTCCCCCTCCTCCTCCTTCTCCTTCTTCTTCTGATCCTAGCTTCTAACGTTTATATATGTGCTCAGTTCTGCTGTGACCCTGAAATGGCTTTTAACAGCTGAAAGGGTAATTTTCATCGTCCATTCAACAAGTGATGGGCATACAGGCTAATGAAAAGTGCAAAGTGGTACAATCTTTTCAGAGAATCTTTTTGTAATAGGTACCAAAATTTAGGATATGCATGCCCTTGGACCTAACAGAATCATTTCTAGAAATCCATTAAATTATTTCCCCAAAGACATATTATGCAATATCAATATCGATGGTAAACCTAGACATTCATCAATAGAATAGTAAATTATGATATTTGGACAACTGGGAAATTATGGCAACTATAAAAATGAATAGTGATAACTTACTCTTGTTTTAGAAATTATATTTATTTTTTATAACAATAGGACATTAATATTAATGAGTTTATCATTGCTAAATTTTTTGTTTGTTTTTTGGTACAGGGTGTCATATAACCCATCTGGACATGAAATTACTGTGTAGCTGAGGATGACTGTGAATACCTGACCCTCCCACCTCGACCTCTCCAGTGCTAGGATTATAGGAAATCAACATCAAAACAGGTTTGTTCTTATTTTTTATTTTTTGTTCTTTTGAGATAGGGTCTCTCTGCAGTACCCTGGCTGTCCTGGAACTCACTATGTAGACCAGACTGGCCTTGAATTTACAATACTCCACTTGTCTCTGCCTCCAGAGTGCTGGAATTGAAGGCATACACCACACACCAGCTTCAAGGCAGGTTTATTATTGTTACTTTTGTTATCTCTATCTATCTATCTATCTATCTATCTATCTATCTATCTATCTATCTATCTATCTATCTATCTATTAATCTACCTGTCTAATGTATCTATCCATT